CCCCCCTGGCCCGCCCCCCGCGGCGGAGCCGGAAACACGCACGGCCCCGGCCTCCCGGGTCCGCCCTTCCCTGCTCTCTTCCCGCCTCCCAGCCCATCGGTGGCCATTGCGCTCCCGGAACGCAGCCCGCTTCACCGGTCATTGGCTAACGGGAGGAGCAAATCAACAGTCGCGACCCCAAAGCGGTGGGCGGGACTTGCGGCCGCAGAGTTTGGCTTGAGTTGCTATGGTCACCAGATACCCGGGAGGAGCCTTCTAGAAAGCTCTGAGCTCGCATCTTGATAGGGCTGGAAGTTAGGAGAAGTTTTGATTAAGCAGTACCTTCAGCTGCGAGCGACAGTTGAGACCCAGCAAGAAAGCGCTCCCGAAAGGGACAACTGACTCCGTCATCCAGGACCAGGCTTTTGGAAGAGTGCACAAAACTGTAGTTTGCATAAAGCCCAGGCTTAGAAACTGTTTGCACTTGGATTAATGCTCTTCCCCTGCCGTCTGGAACTTTTTTTTTTGTTGTTTTTGTTTTTTTTGTTTTTTTTCGAGACAGGGTTTCTCTGTGTAGCTTTGGAGCCTATCCTGGCCCTCACTCTGGAGAGCGGGCTGGCCTCGAACTCACAGAGATCCACCTGCCTCTACCTCCCAAGTGCTGGAATTAAAGGTGTGAGCCACCAACGCCCCTGTCTGGAATTCTTAACTTTTCTGTTCTTTGTTTTGGTGGTTGGAGTGATGGTGATGGCTTGATTTGTTTTGCTGTGACAGGGATGGCGTACTGAAGGCAAGGACGGCCTTGTACTGGTCCACCTGTCTTCATCTCCAAGCACTGAGATAGCCCATGTGTATCCCCTTAAGAGCCCCCCCCCACCCTCGAGTGTGCATTTATTTTTTACTTTGTAAACCTGGAAGTGCTATACTGTTGGAAGATTATTACCAAACATTTACTGAGAGCCTGGCTGTATCTCTCTCCATGGAATAGGGACTCAGAGGGGTTGAACCTCAGCTAAACACTCCCAAAGAGCAGGACTCATCTCCCCTGTCAGACTCAGGTCTCTGAAGGCTGGCCTGTGTCATCTGCCAGTTAGAAGATGTACTGGTTAGTTTTATGTGAACTTGACACAAGCTAGAATCCTCAGATAGGAGGGAGCCTCGATTGAGAAAATGCCTCCTTAAGAGCCCACAGAGGGGGCCAGGCGTTGGTGGTGCACGCCTTTAATCCCAGCACTCAGGGAGGCAGAGGCAGGTGGATCTTTGTGAGTTCAAGAGCAGCCTGGTCTACAACAGCTAGTTCCAGGACAGACTCCAAAGCCAAAGAACAGAAAAGTTAAGAATTCCAGACGGGCGTTGGTGGCACACACCAGTACAAGAGAAACCCTGTCTCAAAAACAAAAAAACAAAACAAAACAAAACAAAAAGAGCCCACAGAGGTAAACCTGTAGGACATTTTCTTAATTAGTGATTGATGGGGGAGGGCCTAGCCCGTTAAGAATGACACCATCCTGGCCAGGTAGTCCTGAGTTCTATAGAAAGTAGGTTGAGCAAGCCATGAGGAGCAAACCAGTAAGCAGCATCCCTCCATGGCCTCTACATTAGCTCCTGCCTCCAGGTTCCTGCCCTACTTGAGAGTTCGTGTCCTTACTTCCTTAGATATGGAAGTGTAAGCCAAATAAGCCTTTTCCTCCCATTTTTGCTTTTGGTCACGGTATTTCA